TACTATGACAGTCTTTTTTAACATTTATTAAAAGTACTTTCCTCTATTTTGTTCCACTTATAGATCACTAAAATAAGATTATTCCTGTTCAAAATCACATTCATAGACTGAACTGTAATAATAGATTTTCTAAATTACATTTTGCAGCAGAAACTGAATTTCAGAATGTAAAACTAATTATACTAGTAAGAATTAAGCTCAATGTACTTAGAAATGTTTACACATTTTAAGTGGTTTTGGACATTAATCAGCATGACTGAATATGTATTTATATCTAAAATGCATATCTTCATCAAAATAATACAAATTATGATGAGTAACACTTTGATAAGTGTTGAATGGTAATGTATCAATGTAGTATATTTCAAAGCAGTCCCACCCGGGAGAGGTGAACCTGTCAGCGGGTGAAGGAAAAACGTTCAAACAGGTAGAACCTCTGTATCATGTCCTGGGCTAATTAGCTTCTGTATCACTTACACAGTCATCTGTTCGGATGTGATCAACCATTCAATGGCTGTTATCAGTCCCATAGAAAATCTTAAGATTGCGCCTTCTCTACCTTCTAATAGATAGCTGATAATATGCAGCTTATCGTTGATTACAGCTGCTTCGGCCACGTCTAAAAAAAACACGAGTTTCACTTTCTAATTACCTACTTTATGCTTTTATCTACTTTATTTGCAGCCTATCTTCTTAAAAACAACTATGTCTTAAAACCTGCTTCGAAAGAATTCCACATGTTTCAGTCACACATATTTAATGCGGTGATTAAAAACAACTCAGTTGACATGATAAGATATTTTTTTGGGAGAATGTTGTTCGATGTGAGCGACATGTCAATTTTTTTTTACAATAGATGAAGAACTACTTACGGTAAATAATTTTCAATTTACAGATACATACATTAATTAATTCTGTGGGATAAAAAAAAGAAATTTCCTTATGGTTAGGATTAGGATTAATTTAGTGATGAGCCTTCTGGTAGGTAGGAGGCACAATCTAAAGTCATCCTATGGGACTGATAACCGCTAATAACGGCCATTTATTGGGGTGATAACAACCGAAGAGGCTGACACAGTAAATACTAAGTGGCTGTTTGTGCAGTTTTGTATAATGTGAGGTTGGTTACGGTTTGGATGTATGTGATATATTGTGAGGTGAGGTTGCGCTCATAAAGATAACTTTCTGAATAAAAATGTCATCCATGCGCAGTCTGGGAAATGTCTCCCTATAAATATTTTATTCTCTGTGACTTAATGCTGCTATGCTATAAAACTTACTGTCTCCAACAGACCTACTGACTCAATTTTTTTTTATTATTGACACAAAGCTACGACAGAACTCTATGGAATGGGAATAGGGCCACTAAAAAATTTTTTAGAAGTTAATTGATTTTTTAAATATTATTTCAGTATATTATGGGAAAAAAAATCTGAATTCTGACTTTAATCTCAGAATACTGACTTTAATCTCAGAATACTGACTTTAATCTCAGAATTCTGACTTTAATCTCAGAATACTGACTTTAATCTCAGAATACTGACTTTAATCTCAGAATTCTGACTTTTTCACATATTAAACGGAAATAAAATTAAAAATCAGTTAACTTTTTAACGTTTTTTCAATGGCCCTAATCATCTTTCGTAGAACTCTCCTGACTAAATAAGGAAATAAAACAAGGTGATCGGCTGAACAAAAGCTGCTCCTGACCAGGTTAGCTCTGAGGAGAATGTTACTATGGTAACAAACAGAGAGGTTGAGAAAAAATGTCTTTGTGAAACAGAAAACAAGAAACTTACCCTGAATTTAGGTTAAGAAAACTTTTCAGTAAGCCTGTTTTGTGAAACCGACCTCAGTACCTCTGTAGATAATTTACAATTGCCAACAGAATAAATAGCCTTGCAGCACCTTCTATGGTGTCAATAAGAGCAACATTATCTCATACTCCAACAAAGAGACAAACAAGCATTCAAACACACATTCACAGCAA